AAAAATTGACCGAATGGCTGTTTGGCCAGTTCGATAAGTTTTGTTTGGCGGTTATAAACATCTAAGTTTGAGATGTGATTAATATAAATATACGATGTTCATGTTTTTTAATACACAAAGATAGTATTCAGAGTGATACTACAATGTCAACGCATTTAAATCGCAAGTCCTATATGTTTGATGTATTCTATACAAATTCAAGTATTTTAAAGGTAACGTTAGGGTGCCATGGGAGTTTGGAATTAAGTTGTCTATGATGATGAATTAAGGTGAAATGGTAAAGCTAATAATAGTAAGTTGTGCTTTGTATGTAAAAAGAATGTATTTGGTGACTATTTTTGACTGATATTATGTGTTGAGCGGAAGATTTACCTTCCTATTCACTGCTGATAAAGAGCTAGATCCGCCGCCCCACCTTGCCTGAACGTTTTCTCGATCAAAAGATATTGGCTACGTTGGTAATAGAATTTAAGTTTTCAAGCAGGGTTTGTCCCTGTTTAAAACTACAGTAAACACGAGTTTTATTATGCTTGGATCGAGTTCCTTGTGAACAAAATGCTTAGTTCTTGGTTGTATGAAGGGTTAAGAAGTAAACAAATAATAAATACAATACTATAAATGGAACATGTAAATATTAAGATATATAATAAACATATATCATAAAATTCTGAATAAGCACTTACGGTTAGATGGGTGACCTGCGTAATTTTTTTTATATAAAAAAATTGCGCAGGTCACCATCTACTTATGGCAAATAAGCACCCCTACAATAATGTTCTATAAATAAGTGCCATGTGTGCAGAAATGCCCCTATACCTGGTACAAGGAATGTTGTATGAGGAAGGTATCTTGTATGAACGAGAAAAAATAAAGGAACAGGTTAGTAAAGTGAAAGGTAATGGTAGCAGGTACATAAATGTGAAACGAACATCTCACGTGAAGCACGTTGTATCATCTAGTGTCGTAGCTCTCCCACAAAAAAATCCCCCCTGTGATTTTTATCCAATTGGGATGTTAAGGTTAGGGGTTAGGGTTATGTTAGATTAGGGTTAAGTCACATTAGGGGGGAAATTCATTAATTAATGTTTTTGTAGGAGATCTATAGGCATTTGTATCATCGGGGAGAGATCAATTGCGTCAATTTGGCGTGATTGTATTGGTGTGTAATGACGAGATAATTAATGCAAAAATAATAATTATTAATATTATTGACAAAATCAAATGTAGTATAAGGGAGTTTAATGGATGAATGGTGTAAATGATGTAATTGAATGTAATATAAAGGGTAGGGCCAAAGCAAGTAAATAAAAAAATTAGTCTTTCGCTCATAGAGAAAATCGTAAATAATAAAATACTTGCACATCTAATGAAAGCACGAGTCTTGAGGTACATTCTACTACAACGGTGTTGTATTGAGTTATACTTGTAGTAGCAACCTGCTACTATTCAACCCCATGATAATAAGCACAGTCAAATAAACTTTAAATTAATTATGTTTCCTGTGATTATAATCGTGGAACATGTTAACGATTTTCAAATAACTAATGAATAAGCACCCCTCATTAATTAAAAAAAAATAGTGCTTATCTTCCAAGTTTACAGTATATATTATGCAACTATATACAAAAATATGAATATACATATATATATATATTCTAATAACAAGTTTTAATTTAGGCAAGTATAATTAATAGTTACGTGCATAATAGGTTTAAAGTATAGTGAAATTAGTCATGAGGTTAAACGATTATATGTCAAGAGAATCAAGTGAACATCTCGAGATTTGGTTTATACGAATTTGAAATAATCATAATATACAGTCAATTTTGAGCAGCCTTTCTGTTTAATGTAAGAAAACTAATTATTATTGGAAAAGCGGATTATAATGACCAAGAAATTTATCAATGCCCCTAATGATCAATTTATTTAAAATTTAAAAAATTTAAAATCGAAAAAAGTTAATTTCAGAGAATTTAAAATTGAAGATTTAAAAAGTTAAAAAAAAAACAATTTAAAATTGAAAAATTTAAAAATAAAAAAAAAAAGAAACAATTTAAAAATTAAAAAAAATTGAACCTTCAGATTGAATAAATAAACTAACAGTATTAAAAAACTGTTATTCTTGTGGTGGAAACATATCAAAATGAACTCTATTGCATTTCAAAAATAAAACCTTATTTACTAAATCTGGTGACAAACGAGTTCGTTTTGCTGAGATATGGTTGTCGGCATCAGAAAACAATCTTTCGCTCGGCACGGAAGTCGCCGAAATAGAAAGATATTTGCGAGCCAATTGGGCTAAAACAGGCAAGCTACTTCTATTTTTTAACCACCATTCTAAGGGATCATCACTAAGTTTGATTTCTTTTAACTTTACATAGTGCATTACTTCATCATCGTCTTCTACATCAACTTGTGTAGAGTTTGATTCTAATTCATAAAAAAAATCCCCATCATCATCATTATAATTACTGTCTACCAAATTCTCATCATTGTTATCTGGAATAGTAAGGTTTATTTTTAATTCATTATACAGGGTCTTTACCAAATTCTGTGCTCTATTTC